CAGGAGCGCCCCCCCCGGCCCGGCCCCCGCCGCGCCCGCGAACAGCTCGGTCAGCTCCTCGGACGTCGCCTCCTCGGGCACGTTGCCCACGAAGAGCTTCACGCCGGGACGCATGGCCGCGGCCCGCCTCAGCCCTCGCAAGATGGCGGCGCCTTTCCCCTCCCCCTTCTCTCCCGCCGGCGCGTCGAGCCCCCGACTGCGCCTGCGCAGCGCCTGCGCACTGGGGAGAGGGGGCCCGCGCCGTCGCCCCGCGCCTGCGCACTCCGGCGCCGCTTCGCGCTTCCGCAAGCTGGCCCCACCCTCTCGCGCCAGCGACTCAACGGTCCCTGGGTGGAGCCCACCGAGAAAAAATAAATAAATAAAGGGGCAGGGGAAGATTAGGGCGCATGCGCCGGCTCCCCAATGGCGCGGAGCCGAACTACTGCAACAAGCCCCTTCAAGGGATGAGCCACGCCGACTCTTAAAGGGTCCGCAGCGCGGTCTAAGGAACAGGGAGCAAGCCCCAAATCCCGACTGCCCCAACCCAGACCTCCCCCCGCCAGTGCAGGGAGCGGGGGCTGCAGCCCTGGAGCTGGTACGAGAGGAAGCCCCTGCACCGTGCCTCAGTTTCCCCGCCCGGCCACTAAGTGACCCGCCAATCGAAGCAGGACAGGGAGGGGCGGCAGTGACAGTGGTTTTATTCACCCAGAGCCCCCAGGCTCTGAGGTTAGTGCAAAAAGAGGCACTGGGGAGTGCCCCCAGAGTTGAAGTCCCTTCAGCAAAGCAGCAGCAGAGAAAGCGAGGCAGGAGCCAGGCCACGGGCTCGGAGCGAAGGGCAGGATTCGGGAACGGAGGATTTGGTCAGGGGTTGAGAGAAGGACCCAAGCGCCCCTCTCCAGCCCAGCCACACAGCTGGCGCCCAGCGAGTTTGGGATGGACGGACAGATGCGCGGCGCAGCCACGATGGCCGGGACCCTAGAGGTGCGGGGCCGGCTGCCCGGGCACTCTCCTGCCCGGCCCCGCCAGCGGGCGGTCCCGCTCCTCCCAGATGGTAACGCCGTCACAGGCGCAGATCTGCTTGGGGTTCTCGAAGAGCCCGGCGGAGCGGGCGATGATGCCGCAGGCCAGCCTGGAGGGGAGAACGGGACAGGGGTCAGCCGACACCCAGCTCCCAAGCAAAAGCAGCATCCTGATGGTCAGGCCCACGCCCTCCCCTCCGCTCCCCTCCCGCAGGCTGAGTGCCCCCTGAACCTGGCACCGTCCGCCCAGCTCCTCACCTCTCGCCCGAGTTGCCGGTGACTTTGGAGAGCGGGTGGGCACCACGGCCCAGGTCGTCCTCGCCCGCGTCCACCACCAGCGAGCGCCCAATGATGTCCCAGACCTAGTGCAGGGCATGGCTGTCAGCATCCCTGGCATGTCTCCTCCTCCCACCCCAACCCTAGCCTGTGTCCTACAGCCAGGGGTGGCAGCACCAGCCCTCCAGGGAACCCCCACTAGGTTCACTCAGTGAGGAAACCACTGGGAAGGTGAACGAGAGGGGACCCAGTGGTGTGCGCAGGAATCCCCAGGGAACTCTTTGCCTGTGGGACTCACCCCCCTATTTCTTACCCAAGGGACATCGTGCCCAGCCTCAAGCTGCATCGTGTCTGGGGGGCACACTGGCTCTGCCAGGGACAGGAGATCATGGGCTTGTGGGCTCAGATCTCCTGGGAAATGGCAGGACAGCCAATCCCCGGAGCTGGGGAAGGGGCTGGGCCTACAAGTCCCAGGTTGCAGCCCCTGCAAGGTGGGGGGCAGAGAGGAGGACCCCAGAAGGCCACGGCCCCCTCACCTTCAGGTGGGCATCTTCCAGGCGGAAGGTGGCTCTGCCGTCATCGTCAGCCAGCACGTTCCCCAGGTCCCCGAGGTGCTGGGAAGGAAGGGGTCAGACTCTGGCATCAAGCTTACCTTGACAGGTGCCCTCCGCAGGGAGCCGGCTGGGATCTCCCAGGCCCGCCTGCCTGGACATGGCATCCCCTGCTAGCTTCCCCCCACCCTGCCCCACATACCCGCCCTTGCTTGGGAGTGAAGCGCTCACCCTGTGCTCATCCAGCGGGCCCCCATGACACTCCGCCTCTGGGTTGAAGTGTTCCCCACAGCTGTTGAGCAGAGGGAGGAGGCGAGTGTGGGGTGGGTGCTGATCACGGGGACATGGCTGGCAGGTAGGGGGGGCAGGCTGATGAGGACAACCCCCCGTATACGGTACGAGCACTGGGCACCACCTCACCTATCACAGGAGCTGGTCATGTCCCCGAACTCATGGACATGGAGTCCATGGGGGCCCGGTGCCAGCCCGTCAATGGTCCCCTCGATGAGGCACTTCTCCCGCGACACCTGCAGGAACCGCACCACTCCCTGCACCAGGCTGGGCCCTGCCATCATGGCCACCGCTGCCCCCAGGTTCTCTAGGGGAGGCGGCAAAGTCAGGGGTTGGCGGCCGCAGCCCTGGTCACGTCACTTAGCCCGCATTGTATCCCTTGGGGAAGTGTGGGGATCGCAAGGGTCACGGGGAAGCGCCAGGCGGGGCCAGCGTCCTGGCCCCTTGCCTCCCGTACCCCATGGTACTCACGAGTCATGCTGCCCCCCATGCCCTTGAGCACGGCCCGGCGCCCTGAGCTCTCCAGCAGCCCTTTGACCTGCTCGGCCCCCAGGCTGGTCTCCAGCAACACACTCTGCGTGTCCAGGCACACATCCAGCACCCGCAGGCCTGCGGGGAAGAGCCGGAGGTGTGGGTGAGAGCGGCGGAGGGCCTGCGGCAGGGGTGGGGCGGGGGGGCCCGTCCTCACCTGGGACCCCCTGTAATGAGGCGCCGATGGCGTCCACGCACCCCTGGCAGCTCATCTGCACGGCGAACTCCAGCTGCGGAGGAGGGCGGGGACGTCAGGCCCAACCCAGGCAGGCCGGCCTGGAGCACACCCTTGGGTGCGGGGAGGGACACCCCCCAGGCTGACCCCACACCTAGGGAAGGGGTAATGCACTCCCTTCTGAGACTGCCCC